ATGTTTCTATTAGTTGGATATAATCATTTGTGTAAGAATAATGAATTTCTTAAAGCATTCATGAAATTGTATGCTGCAGTAATAAGATTAGTAATCAAGTCCAATTTATTTGCCTTATTGTAATTGTGATTACAAAGCAAACTCCCACAGAAGATGGAATCTCAAATTATTAGATTTAACTCTCTGCAAGAAATAAAAAAGATTCTTTAAAATGCGTGTTATGTTGGAGCACCTAGGTGGCTCAGTTGTTTATAGACATCTGCCTTCAACTCAGGTCATGATCCCAAAGTCCTGAGATCCCCTGCTCAGTGGGGAGCCTGCTCCTCCCTCTCCCTCTGCCATTCCCCACTCCCCTCCCCACTCATGCTTGCTCTCTCTCTCTCAAATAAATAAATAAAATATTTTTTTAAAAGAGAAATTATCCACAGATTCTCATACTCTTACAAGAATTAAAAAAGAAAACAGATGCTTAGGAAACTGAAGAACTATCCCCTAGTGAAACAGCGCAAGATTATTGAATCATTAAGTTGGGCCATCTGATTTGATGGGGAATCATGAGAGCTGACACTTCATGACCTGAGACAGGTCTAGTGCTAAATTCAGACACAGAATCTCCATTATATATTCCCTCCTTTTTCCAGTGTAACCTGTGCTAGGAATACTCACCAGGGATGGGAACTATAGATTTCTAAACTATTATCAGGAAGGCAAGTTCTAGACTCTCCCCCCACCCCATCCCCAAATTCAGTCGTGCAGCGGGAAGTTAATGAGACAGACCAGCTGAGCTGGGGTCTGCAGAGCAGAGAGGTGGGGAATGTGGAAGCCAAAAGCAAGAAAAGATCAATACTATGACTCTTCACACTTGTTTGAAAACCTTAAAATGAGAGTTTATTCAAGACACTAGTCCCATATATTGTGAATCGCTAAGATTTTGGCTCTGTTTTAAGAAATCCTCAAGAAGTATTAAAATACCAACCATAATGCTATGTAGTAAATACAGACATTGTAACTTCCCAGGTAGCCCCATAGTGTTTGGGGAGCAGTGGAGAGGGCTCCAAGCTGATTGATAATAATGTTTCTGCAGGCAGTGGCCTCCCAAGTGCCCTTGAAAAACTACCGGTCTGGGGCAGAATTTAAATATGTGACACTGGCTGTAAACTTTTGACTTAATCAAGGTAGGGCAGCTTTCAGAAACAAAAGTGCCCTAAAATCAAGGAATTAAACTCTGTGGTTAAGAAATTTGGCAGAGACTCACACCAATGTAGGCTTTCCCAACAAAACGGAGTCCTAACTGCCCAAAGGACACTTAAGTTGCCTCCACCATGTATCTGATTACATCTCTTAAGAAATGTGTACACATTTACAATTGTGCCAGAAGTTATTTAAATTATTATGCTTTTTTATTTACTACCACTGCCTTCATATGAAGTAAAGATGTCTCCAGTGTTTATTCGTGAATTAATACTTTGTAATTCAGAACAGATGGTAAATTCCTCCAGTGGACAGAGACTAGCATAGAGCTCAGCACCATAAGTTCTTTGGGTGGAGAAAATTCTCATCTCCCTCAACATCCATTCTATGGTCTCGTATGGACAGAAGTTTAATAAATAGTAATTGGATTAATTTACAAAAATACTATAAAAGAGGGGATGCCTGGGTAGCTCAGCAGTTGAATATCTGCCTTTGGCTCAGGGCATGATCCCGGGTCCAGGGATGGAGTCCCGCATTGGGCTCCCTGCAAGGAGCTTGCTTCTCCTTCTATGTCTCTGCCTCTCTCTGTGTGTCTCTCATGAAAAAATAACATCGTTAAAGAAATATTATAAAAGATATGCATATTTAACAAAGTAAGTAAAATACTATGCACTGCCAATTAGTATAAGTAGATAATGAACAATACTGCCTACACTAGTAATTTTAAACCAAAAGAAAAGGGAATCCCTGGGTGGCGCAGCGGTTTGGCGCCTGCCTTTGGCCCAGGGTGCAATCCTGGAGACCCGGGATTGAATCCCACGTCGGGCTCCCGGTGCATGGAGCCTGCTTCTCCCTCTGCCTGTGTCTCTGCCTCTCTCTCTCTCTGTGACTATCATAAATAAAAAAATAAATAAATAAATAAACCAAAAGAAAAAAGTCAAATTACAGTTTTTCTTTTATCCATCTTAGACCTGGGTGCTTAAAAAAAAGCACTAATAAATTCTACTCTCACATAATCACAGACATGATAACTGTGTTACTTTGGGTTGCCACTTCTAAGAAGGACATAAATATTCAACAAATATTTGTTGAACTTTCATTAACATGTACAAAGCACAAAGATTTATGCAGATCCAGCTCAGGCCCCAGAAAGCAATTCCTGCTCTGACTACCAGGGGGCACCTAAAGCAAGCACATCTGAGTGGCCGGTGGAAGAGAAAGAGGGCCAGGTGGTGCCTCTCCAACACCCACGTGTGAGGCGTTCCTAGCTCAGAGAGCAACCACGCAGGCAAGTCTCTCTTCACTGTACAATTTTTTTACTAGAAATGTTACTAGTGTGTGGAAATTGGACCTGTCAAATGAGAATTCAGCTTTAATCAATTTGGCATATGTATGTATGTACATACACATGGACATTCCCTCCTGAAATTATCCTAAACACAATCTTTCTTGAAACTAAATGAGAAGCAAACAATCTTTACAAATAAAAAGTAAATCATATAATTAAGTTCTTAGTTGTCTAGAAAATATACAATGTGACAGGTGTAGTAAGAAATCACCATTTTAATTCTGCTACTCTTTACACAATATCATTTCTAATGTTTTATTGTTTTATTGTAGTAAAATATATAAAACATATAGTAACATAAAATTTGCAATGTTAACCATTTTTAATTGTACAGTTCTGTGGTAATAAGTACATTCACGATGTTCTGCAACCACCACCACCATCCGTCTGCAGAACTTTCTCATCTTCTCAAACTGAAATTCTGTTCCCACTAAACACAAATTCCCCATTCTCTCTTCCCTCATCCTCTGGCAACCACCAATCTACCTCTCTGTCTCTATGATTTTGACTACTCTAGGTACCTGACATAAGTAGAATCATAGAGTATTTGTCTTTTTTGTGACTGGTTTTTACTTATAAACTTCCAGGTACAAAATAAACCAGTCACAGGGAGGAAAAGTAAAGATAATGTATTAGAATCAAGAATACTGTGATAACTTTGTATGGTAACAGGTGGTAACTACATTTATTACTATGACCATTTCATAATGTATACAATTGTCACATCACTATGTTATATACCTGAAGTTAATATTAATATTGCATGTTAACTATAGTTCAATTAAAAATACAGGGGAGCCTGGGTGGTTCATTTATTAGGCTTCTGACTCAGATCCTGCTCAGGTCATGGTCTCTGGTGATGGGATCCAGCCCAGCGGAGGGCTCTGCACTCAGACTCAGAGGAGTTTGCTTGACATTCTCTCCCTCTCCCTCTGACCCTCCACTTGGTCACACTGGTGCTCTCTCTCTCTCTCTCTCTAAACATGAATAAATACATCTTTTAAAATAATTAAAATAGAGAAAAACATTTGAAGACCTTATAGAACAATATTTCTCAGTTTAAAAAAAAAAAACTAAGTCTACATGACCACCACCTACTATACCTACTACATACATACACCTTCAGGTTCTACAAGGAAGGAGACAGTTTAGATGTACCTTCAGAAGCTTAGTTTTCTTTTATCCCTGAGATAACCTTAAGTTCAGATCACAACTGAGTAAGTAAATTCTCTAGGGTAAGAAGATTGCTAATCAGAACAGATCTAAACTCCAACAAAGGTGGCCAATGGAAGCTGTTCCATGGAAATTTGAAAACACTCAGAGGCTCTGATTTTGCCACATTCTTGCAATAAATCCATCACTCATAAAGGGAATTCTGGGATCATTTTTAGTTTCTAGAATGACAAACAAAATTCAGTCAACTTATTCTGTATGTTGGTAAATTGAACACCAATAAAAATTAATTTATTAAAAAAAATTCAGTCAACTAATATTTATTAAATATCCTGTCCAGGCTAGGCCCCGTGCTTAACCCTGGGGATGCAAAAGCAAACCGTGAGGCGCACGGAGGGAATGCAGGGTCCCCCCTAAACCGCGCTGAGACAGTAACAGACAGGGAGGGGCTTCTGTAGTTGGCTTTTCTTTCAAGCGTGAGCAATACCAACCCTGCGCAGGGAAGAAGTTAAAGTCTTCACCCCAATCTGGGCAAGCAGGCTAGGCCTTGCCCTAGCATCTGGTCACTAGCACCAGTGAGAATGAGTGACCTACGGGGACACGTGTCCTTCCCTGTCACCTCAGGCAGGGCCAAGTCTCAAGTGCATTGGAACAAGTTCTTAAAAGAAAAAAAAAAAAAGCATCCCTGTGACCGCCAGCTAAATTAAGTGTGCTTGACGGGAACCAGGCTCGAGGCTACTATTTATAGCTCCTCGGCTCCCTTCCCAGGACGCGCTCCCGCCTCCGCACCGGCCCGGCCCTCGACAGCATCCGCGCTGCGGCCCAGGCTCTTGCTCGGGTCGACTGGCCCCCTTTCCTGGGAGCCGCCGGCTCAGCGGCCCCTGACCCGCGCCGTCAGTGCAGGATCGCGTCCCCCGACAGACCGCGGAACTCGGGCGGGGCCCCAACGCCCGCGCCCCCAGCTCGGGGGCACCCCCAGAGCCGAGGCGCGGCCCCGCGAGGGCGGGTGCACGTGCACACGAGGGGCGCCCCCGGGGGCGGGGTGGAACCCGTGGACCTGTGCGCCCTGCGCTCGCCCTGCCGTCCCCGTCGCCCGCCTCGCCTCACCCCTTCAGTGGAGAGCAGACGCTAGGTCCGCGGAGGCCGGGCGGCGGGGAAGAGCCCCAAGCTCGGCATCCCGAGATGGAGGGCGACCCCGCGGTTGGGGCGCGGCTGCGGAGTGAGGGGTGCGGGCGCGGGTGGGGATGCGGGCGCGGCTGCGGGGCGAGGGGTGCGGGCGCGGGTGGGGATGCGGGCGCGGCTGCGGGGTGAGCGGTGCGGGCGCGGGTGGGGATGCGGGCGCGGCTGCGGGGTGAGCGGTGCGGGCGCGGGTGGGGATGCGGGCGCGGCTGCGGGGCGAGGGGTGCGGGCGCGGGTGGGGATGCGGGCGCGGCTGCGGGGTGAGGGGTGCGGGCGCGGGTGGGGATGCGGGCGCGGCTGCGGGGCGAGGGGTGCGGGCCCGGGTGGGGACGCGGGCGCGGCTGCGGGGCGAGGGGTGCGTGCTACGGCTGCAGGTGCAGTCGGGCGGGACGGGATGCGGACTGCGGGTGCGGGTTGGGGCGGGCTGCAGGTGGGTGCGCGGGACGGGAACGAGAGGCGGGTGCGGGGCGGGGGCCCTGCGCGGCACCCTGGCACCGCCCCCGCGCGGCCCCCAGGAGGAGGTGGAGGCGGCGGGGGCGTGGCGCGGCGGCCGGGGCTGCGGCTTGGGGGCGCCGAGCGCGGGGCGCACTGGGGCCAGGGGATGGCCGCCGGGGCGGGGAGGCTGGGCCCGTGCGCGGGGCGCACGCGTTAAGTTGCACCGCACGTGTAGGAGAAAGTCTCCTTTTGAGAGCGGCCGGGAGCCCTGCTCGACGAGGAGCGCACCCGGGTCGCCGCCGCGGCAGAGCGGGGTAAGCGCGGGGCCGGGCGCCCCGAGGCCCAGGCGCCGGCGGCCGGGGCAGCCCCGGGGCGGAGGGGCGGGCGCCGGGTCCCCGCACGGAGGACGGGCTCGGGCGGTGCGAGGCGGCCCCAGCCCCGCGGCGCGCGGGCGGCTCCCGGCCTCCCGGAATTCTTTCGGGAATTCTTGGGAAGAGGTGGGAGCGGCAGGGCTGGAGGGCCGGACACGGGCAACTGCCTGGGGAACTTGGGGAATAACCGCGGCTGCTTCGCTCCCGGGGCCTCTGCCGAGCGCGGGGTCTCGGCCTGTAACGGCCTCCCCTGGGGGCCGCGGGGTGGAGATGCCTGCTGTCGGGGCTCTCCCTTCCGGGGGGAGCGGGAGTGGCCCCGGGACGTCAGGTCCGAGGGGTCTGAGGACTGTTTAAATACTTGACTACTCTGGACAGACAGCACGGCCACAGGGAAGGAGTCCATCGCCACGCTTTCTGCAGAGCTGTGGGTGTCTTTTAGGAACACTGTTGGCTCGCTTACTTCTTTTAAGAAACTTTTTGGAAAGTTTTTTTTTTTTTAAAGAAATGTTTTAGTTATAAGTACCACGATCTAATTTCTTGACCCATATGCTTGTTACAGTATGTTTAAGTATAAAGAATTTACAGAAGAGTGGAAAAACACTTATCTGCATTCCACAGTAGTCCCTTCTTTCAGGGGCTGTTCTGACAGTAAATTGCAGCGATGCGGGTGCATTTGCCTTGCCGTCTACTCTGCACTGTAGTGAGCAGACTTCATCCCAGTCTGCAGAGCCCTCGGTTCACGAACATGTAGGACTGGGACATTAGGGACAAGTGGAGTTCTCTGGTTTTTACCAAGATATCGCCAAAATTTGTCACTTAAAAGTGGTGCTATGCAAACATCCGAGACGTGAATTATACCTTAGTTTATAGGACTCAAGAATTCAAATTGATGGTTTATGATGTGTGCATCACTTCACTGACAATCCATCAATGTGCTGTGAAATGTATTGCAAAACAAACATTAAAAGATTAAAGAGGAAAGGGGGGAGATTTATTTTCCAAGAGTCAGTGTGTTCTAAGTAAACAACAGCTAATTTGGCACATATTCCACTAGTTCAGCAGTTTGATTCATGTTGAGATTGGCATCTCATAAGGACAATGCACGTGTCCCTGTAGTGTAAAGTAATTCACAAAAACTTTACTACTATAACAAACTAGACAATGCTATTTATGTTAGCCAGTGAATGTTATTAATGGCTTAACACCATCTTAAGATAATGAAATGTAACACAATGTCATTGTTCGCAAATAAGAAAAAGAATTTTGACACAATTTCCTTGAATATTACTTACATTTCAAGTTGTGTTCATTTTCTTAACAAAAATAACTTACACTACACATTTGAGCCTTAAAATTATGTGTATGTATCACAGCCATTTTATAAAGCCTCATATATGCAAAGAATTTAAAGAATATTAGTCTTTCAAGTGTTACCATTACGTGAATATGCACCGAACAGAACAAATAGGATATATAAATTTTTAGGATTTTACCTCAGTATCACACATAAATGCATGAATAAACATAGTTTTTGTACCATACTAAAATATCAGAACATTCCAGACAGTGGACAGGTCCTTGAGAAGTATTTCACCCTGTATAGATAGCATGATTCCCAGGATCTCTATATTAAGAAACTCAGCCAAACTCATGATTAACATACAGTGTCCTTGTCTCTCCACTCCACTGTGTTGTGGCCATTACCAGTACTATGTAACACTTGTCATATTATATTTTGATTAGTTTTAGATTTAGTTTTGATTAGATTTATTTTTTTTACAAGTCTGTCTCACCCACAGAATGTGAATGAACCTCCCGAGAGTAAGACCATATCTTAATTAAAAGTGCCACATACAAAATAGATGTTTGATAAATATTTATTAAATTGAAGAGAGAAAGAAAATCCAATACACGTGATAATTAACAGTATACATGTGTCTCTAAAAACAGTATGCTTTTGCCATTTCAATATAATGCATAAAGGGCATAAAGGGAATAAAATAATGATAAAGTTTAATCTTAATTTTCATTTTTACAGTGATGGAAAACTCTTCATCATGATAACTAAATTGCTTTTTAAAAATCTCTGGTCTTCAAAAGTATGACTTCATAATGGTTGATGTGAACAGTTTCTGCACTCTCACATCTCCTTTAATTTGAAGAATTAGTGGTTTGCTTTATTTACTGTTAACAAACTAATGATACTAAATGCAAAAATCACTTAATTTTTTTGTTCAGACCACCTGATTATCTCTAGGAATTAATGCTCATTTTATTCACAAAACTCCATTTCTTATTAGCTTTAAAATGAATCTTTTATTCTAGAATATAAAAGAGATTTCTATGTTGTACACTCATAAAAGTGGGTTTGAATTAGAAGTGAAATGATATTTATACTATAGAAATTATTACAAAAATAGAAACCATTTTGACAGATGTAATCTGTGTCAGTAATATAGATGGAAAAATAAAATATCACAATTTTCGGGCTGTGAGGTTTTGTTCACTAAAGCAAGAGTAAAGATAATATCTAAATTTGCTTTAAAATGACAATTCCAATTTATATAGTTGAGTAACAGGACCGTTCTTAGCATGTCAATAATATTTAATAATTTTAGCCACTTTGGACTCTAACCCATGTTTCTAAACATACGTTTTAGAGTGTGATCGAGCGATATAACTAGAAGGGCAGCTGTTGTAATCTGAACAATCTGCCTGGTGCATAATCCGGTGAAGTCACGCGGAAGGAGAAGGTATGACTGACCGAGTCAAAAGTCAGGAGTTTTCGTGCTGGCTTCAGCATTGTGGGCTGTGTAGCCTTCGGCAAATCACAGTATCCAGTCGGGGCCTCCATACCCCAATCTGTAAAATAAAGAGGATAAACTAGACCACTTCTGAGGTTCTTCTAGCCCTGTGATTCCATATTTCCTCCCTGGATGAACCAGATTCCTGAAGGATGTAATTTAGATTTATAGAGGGAAATTAGTTTTAACTGACCAGACTGTGTGAAGTCAGTGCTTGGTATACTCTTCAGAAGGCCTGATCTGTGCTTTAGACAGGACGAGATCCTGTTGGGAGCAGTAATACACTAAAGCATCCCTATAATTTTCTTTATTTACCCTTACCCCAAGCCACCCTTCAGGAAGTATTGGTAAATTCAGTTTTACTTCAAGGGAAGTGATTTTTTTTCCATTATTCATTAAAAGTTTAGGGACTAATGCTCAAGTACATTAAAATTAATGTAAATTACACTAAAATGTGTAAGTCAAATGTTTAAATGAAAACTTCAAGTGGTATCCTTAGGTCTTTCACAGCAGTTATTTTAAAGACTTTTAATGCCATTTAATAATTGGCAGGAGAAACCGGAGGACTCCACAGGGTAATGGAACAGGGAAAACATTTGGAGGGTTTAAAGAGGAAGCCCAGTAAGGCATGAATAGTAGTGGAAGACAGTCATGTTTCTAATTATGCTCCAGACTATTTACATTTTTCTGTCAATTGAACTGAAGCTCAACCAGCTGTTAATTTTCTAGCTTAATATTAGAACTCTAATTGTGGAAATGGTGACTTAATACTGATTTCTGGTAGGAATATTTATTTTATTTGAGTATTTCAAGAAGAAATACTGTGGTTAAAAAGTAAAGTTTATTTTAACTTTTGTCGTTCTTAAATATAAAAATTGAATACATTTGTTCTTTAATACAGTTGTTTAAGTTGCTTTCAACTTAAAATTAGCTCTCATTCAGCTTTTTAAGTTACAGAATGTAGTGACGCCTGAGTGGCTCAGCAGTTGAGCGCCTGCCTTTGGCTCAGGGTGTGATCCTGGATTCCCGGGTTTGAGTCCTGCATGAGGCTCCTTGCGTGGAGCCTGCTTCTTCCTCGGCCTGTGTCTCTGCCTCTCTCTCCCTGTGTCTTGAATGAATGAATGAATGAATGAATAAAATCTTAAAAAAAAAAATAAGTTACAGAATGTCAAAAACAAAAGAAAAACTGAGTTTTTCCCCTTTGACTCGGGATGAAAATGTTAATCATATTTACCTTAACCAAGACTTAAGAGCATATGACTTTTCAAGTATTTATAAACAATTTAAGATCCAGCCCCTCAAAGAACAATTAAAATTCCCACATAAAAGAGAAAAGAGAGGGATAATAACATATGGATGGCAGGTGTTTTCTATCCATTCTTATTTAATAAACAAATAGAATAAAAGAATAAGGTACATCTGGCTTATTCAGTCAGTGGAACATGCAACTCTTGATCTTGGAATTGTAAGTTCAGGCCCCATGTTGGGTGTAGAGATTACTTGAAAAATAAAATCTTAAAACAAAAATAAAGTATAATTTAAAAACTATTTTGTGTTTCTGGAGATTTGTTCTCTGACAATAAACAAATAAATAAATAAATATTTATATATAATCCTAGCAGTACTTTAAAATTATTGATAAAGAAGTTAGAAAAATGCTGTTTTATAATTTCATTGATCAGTTGATCTGTAGAATGATGTCTCCTTCCAGAGCATGAGATTACTGAAAAGTTAATAGAAACCATGCACTTTTTCATTTAAAATAAGGACTCCCCTGAAACTGTACAATAATAAACAATTTCACAGTAAGATAAAGGATACCCTTAAATTATATATTTATATATACACACATATATATATATATTTTGTAATAATACTAGCAAATACTAAAATCAACATTATCAACTTAAAAGATCTATAGGAATTTTTTGTAGATTTATTCTGTATACTATAAATATATATGATTTATATATTTGTATATATAAATATGCTATAAATATAGCATATGTGATAAAACATTGGAAAAAATGACAAAATGAACTCTTATCCTTTTTCAAGCATATCAAAATTGGTTCATTAGTTAAAGAAAAACTACTAATAAGACTAATATTTTAAAAGCCTCAAATAAACAGTATTTGGAACCAAACAAATGATTCTAATTATGAATACCATATGATTTCAAAATCAAAAGAAAATACCATAAATAATTTTTTGCCAATAAATTTGAAACTTAGGTGAAATAGAAAATTTTCTAAAAGATAATGAACTATAAAAATTAACTTAAGAAATAGCAATTTCAGGCAGCCCGGGTGGCTCAGGAGTTTAAAGCCTGCCTTTGGCCCAGGGCATGATCCTGGGGTCCCGGGATTGAGTCCCACACCGGGCTCCCTGAATGGAGCCTGCTTCTCCCTCTACCTATGTCTCTGCCTCTCTCTCTGTGTCTCTCATGAATAAATAAATAAAATCTTTTAAAAAATAAAATAAAACATTCTTCTACTTAAATAAATAAATATCACAATAACAGGAGAAAAGTATTGGATTTAGAAAACAAAAGCCAACCAACCATTAACAAAGATTGGAAGGAAACTTCTTAGCCTGATAAAAGTTGAAACATCATGCTCAATGATAAAATTTGAGAAGCATTCATGTTAAAGACAAAAATGAGAAAAGATATCACCATCTCCACATTGTGCTAAGAGTCCTGGCCAGTACAAGAAGACAAGAAAAAGAAATAACAGGAATTAGAACTCAAGGAGGAAGAAACAAATCTGTCCTCAATAGCAGATGATTCTATTATGTGTTACATAGAAAATCCAAAGGGATCTCCTAACTATTGAACTATTAAGGCTTTCTAACAGGTTGCTGGATATAAGATCAATATATAAAAACAATGCTCCTAAGTACCAACAGTAACCAATAAAAAGTTATAATGAAAAAACGACTTGGAACAAAAAAATTGGAATGAGTAAAAATTAGGAATAAATCTAACAAAAGATGTTTAAGACCTTTAGGAACATTATCCTAAAGCACTATTGAAAGGCATAAAGAAAGTCAACATCAGTGGATCAGTTGTGCTTATTGGCGGGGGGAAACTAGATTGTAAAGAGCTAAATTTTTTTTTTGTAAATTTATTTTTTATTGGAGTTCAATTTGCCAACATACAGAATAACAGTGCTCATCCCGTCAAGTGCCCCCCTCAGTGCCTGTCACCCAGTCACCCCCACCCCCCGCCCCTTCCGCCACCCCTAGTTCGTTTCCCAGAGTTAGGAGTCTCTCATGTTCTGTCTCCCTTTCTGATATTTCCCACTCATTTCTTCTCCTTTCCCCTTTATTCCCTTTCACTATTTTTTATATTCCCCAAATGAATGAGACCATATAGTGTTTGTCCTTCTCCGACTGACTTACTTCACTCAGCATAATACCCTCCAGTTCCATCCACGTCAAAGCAAATGGTGGGTATTTGTCGTTTCTAATGGCTGAGTAATATTCCATTGTATACATAGACCACATCTTCTTTATCCATTCATCTTTCGATGGACACCGAGGCTCCTTCCACAGTTTGGCTATTGTGGACATGGCTGCTATAAACCCCGGGGTGCAGGTGTCCCGGCGTTTCATTGCATCTGTATCTTTGGGGTAAATCCCCAGCAGTGCAATTGCTGGGTCATAGGGCAGATCTATTTTTAACTGTAAAGAGCTAAAGTTGATTCATCTATAAATTTCATGCAATTGCAATCAAAATTGAGTCTCAGATTTTCATGGAAGTTGACAAGCTCTACCTAAATTTCATCTGGAAAAAATAAAAGGCCAAAAGTTGCCTAGACAAATATGAAGAACAAAATTGGGGGACTTGTTCTACCAGATATCAAGTATATCTAGAACTCTTGCCATTAGGTGTCCTGCTGGTTTGTGTGATCAGTCTTTTCTTCTGGAGATGGAAAACAATGTCACATGTTACTTTATCTGAAGCATCAGAGGTTCAATATTTTCCTCCTTTGTGCTTGTCTTTGTGGTTGAACTTTTCCCAGTGCCATGAGTGCCATGGCACTGCGGCACTATGGCCCTGTGTTGTAAATTTCATTGAGCCAGCTTTTAAAAGCCTAGTTCCCATCTTGCTTTTTAGTCTGAGACAAAGCTAAATGTTGGAGTTGAAGCTATAGAGTAAAAGAAGGAGTCTCTTGTTATTTTTGGTGAATTTATTGTGAATTCTGTTTCCTTTTTAAAAAGTCAGATCAGAACTATGGAAAAAGAGTGGTAGGTACATAATAACGTGGGCTAGGTCCCATGGCATCTGGAAATTACTGTCTTAAATGTGAATGCTTGAAAAAGGCAGGTAAGGTATAAAAGAAGCTAATGGAAAACAGTCTTTCCACCTGCTGGAAAGATAGCTGGATAAGCCTTTTTTCATTGTATCATATTTGTGACTAGCTCAGTCTACCATGTTCTTTTAAATTTGTGCCAAGTCAGAGATGGCAAAAAGCATCTTGGCCACCACTGCCTTATACCAAACTCTAGCAGACATCACTAAAGGAACATAGAACTCTTTCTGGCTAAGCCTATATGTGACTCTCAAAATCCTACTCAACCATGTTCCAGGCGATCACAAACAGTTAACACAAAATTAATTTGCCTACCCATACTCCAAGTTATACTACCTCTAATTTAAAAACCTAGTAACAATGTTTTCAAAGTATCACAAAAGAGAATCAAGTAGAATGCAAATGATACCTTTTGAGTGTTATTCCATCTGAGTCTTAACTAAAAGTTGCATTTCCTAATAAGCAACTCTTTTGCAAGTTTCTCCTTCTGTACTGACCTGCAGATGCTGGAGTGCCCCCAAGGCTTGGTCTTCAGCCCCCTTGTCCTTCTCCCCTGCCCTTAGATAATCTCAGTCCAGTCTCAGGGTTTGATGATGACTCCCAAATGTTTCTCTCTAGCCTTCATGCTTG